CGGCGCGTGGGGTGTCCTCGGTTCCACCCGCCCCTCGCTTTGTGCTGAGTCCCCGGCTTGAGGCGGCGCGGGGGTCCGGGGAGGCTGCCTCTTTGTCTGTGCCTTTCGGGGGCCGAGCCCCGCCCGGGGACCGCTGAACACCGCCGAACGCAGTCCTCCGGCCCTCACCCTCCTCCCCAGCGCGGAGCTCTCGAGCTCCACCTCGCGCCCCATTGTAGAGCAGGGTCTCGGCCCCCCACGGCAGGAGCCCCTAGGACCGCCCCCTCCCACGGCCCAAGCCCTTTTTCATCCGCGGTGTGTGTGTGTGTGTGGCGGGTGCAGTTCCTTGGGGGACCTAGCCCCTCCCCCGGCCCTGACCTTAGTACGACGATCCCGCTTTTCCAAGAGCCACCTCCCTCCTCCCGCTGGCCCGTCTCATCTCAAATTTACAGGTGACCAAAGAGAATGGGGCTATTAAAGACCCATTGCCTCTGAGCCTAGCGGTTTGTGGGGAGGATCGGGGAAGGATAAGGTTTGGCTAGGGAAGCCTTCAGGCCTAGAGAAGAAGAGCAGACACATTTTTGGCTGTTCCGTGCGGGGGCTGGGAGAGTCAGAGGTCTGATCAGTGCAGAATTCCCATCTCACCACTCACTCCCCTACCTCCCTCACCCACCCTCTCCCTCGACAGGCTGGGTGCAGTTTTCTTTCTGAGAAGGGTGGGGGAAGGAGGAGGAAGGACGCGTGTGGGTCTGTGTCCAGGAGTGAGTGAGTGCGTGTGTGTGTGTGTGTGTGTGTATGTGTGTGTGCGCGCGTGCCTGCATAGGCCTGGGGTCTGGTGCCTCTGTGTCTGTGGGTGCCTGGTGGGTGTGGGCATGTATATGAGTGTGGATCTGAGGTCTGGTTTGGAACACTCCTGTCTCATGCTCTTCTCACCACCAGCATCCCATTAAACTCATAAATCTGGAATTCAAGGCCCTTCAGTAATGATTTTTAAAATAGGGCACAACACACAGTGCCCCTCGTGGCTCAGGGGTAAAGAATCCACCTGCCAAAGCCAGAGAGGTAGGTTTGATCCCTTGGTGGGGAAGATCCCATGGAGAAGGAAATGGCAACCCACTGCAGTATTCCTGCCTGGGAAACCATGGACAGAGGAGCCTGGGGGCTATAGTCCATTGGGTCACAAAGAGTTAGACATGACTTAGTGACTAAACAACAACAACACACAACAAAACTGCCCAGCTGCATCTCCTCCTCTGATGGCCTCCTCAGCCTCTGCCAGTCCGTGAACAAGTCTAACATTTATGGATTCGTTCCTCTATGCCAGGCTCAGTTCTAAGCCCTATGCATCTGTAAACTTACTGAACTCTCACATAACTCTATGAGAAAAGCACTAGCTGAGTCATTTCACAGTTGAAAAAAGTGAGGCACAGCTAGTAACTGGAGGATCCAAGACATTTGGGTCCAGTCTGCCCTAGGAATCACTATCTTCTGTTGTCTCAACTTCCACTCATTCCCTAGGCTCTTCTTCCTCCAGGAAGTCTTTGTTGACCAGAAGTTCAGAGATGTCGCTGCTTTCCTGTCTCTGCTCCCTGTTCATACTGTGTTTAGGAGGAAGCACTAACACTGGCTTTGGTGAGGCCTGTACAGACTGGCCAATGCGTCACGCGTCCTTGCTTAAGTCGTGTATATGCTGTCATGCCCGACTCTTGCAACCCCGTGGACTAGAGCCCACCAGGCTTCTCTGTCCATGGAAATTTCTAGGCAAGAATACTGGAGTGGGTTGCCATTCCCTTCTCCAGGAGATCTTCCCAACCCAGGGATCAAACCCACATCTCCTGCGTTGGCAGGCAGGTTCTTTACCATTGGGCAACCTGGGAAGCAGTCTGTAAGGTGGCCCTGGGTGATCTCCACCTCCCAGTACTCAGAGCCTTGTGTCATATTCCCCCTTAAGTAACTTGTTTTTAACCAGTGGAATCTGGCAACATTGAGGGATTTCACTTCAGTGATTAGGTTGCAGAAAATTGAGACTTCTGTCTTGCTAGTACTCATATCTTTCTTGGCTTGCATGCTTTGATGAAGCAAGCTGCCATGGCCCACACAGCCAGGAATTAAAGGCGACCCCCAGGCAACAATCTTCCTGGAACTGAATGCTCCCAACAAAGTAGACCATGGACCTTGGATTGATATCTTGACTGTAGCCTGGTGAGAGAGTCCTGACCTACAGAAATGGTGAGATAACAAATATGCATTGTTTGAAGTCACTGAGTTTTAGGGTAATTTGTTATGCAGTAGATAACTACAGGTGAGTCTTCAACAACACAGGTTTGAACTGCATGTATCCACTTAAATGTAGATTTTTTTCAGTAGTAAATATTACAGTACTATGTGATTCACAGTTGGTTGAATCCAAGGATGCAGAACCATAAATATGGAGGGACCGCATATATGGAGGGCTGACTATAAGTTAGAGTTTCGACAGTGTGGAGGTTCGGTGCTCCCAACCCCTGTGCTGTTCAAGGGTCAACTGCAATATACTGTCTTTATATAAGTACAAGTACTGGATTTTTGAGAAATGAATTAATGACTCATCATACAAATTAATGTAAAATAGAATATCTTATCTAGATTGGCATCAACAAATATCTGAAATCATGTACATGTTTTATAATTACATCTGTATCAGAACCATCTAAGGACCCTAACTCAATCTTTTACAGTCAGGCTTCCACCTCCTTCAGGGAAGTGGTGTCTCTAGGGCAGATTTGAATATGTGAGCATGCTTATATGAATGTGGGGCATGCATGTGTCCCTCACAATTGACACCCCTCCCTTTTAGGCCTAAAGGTGCCTTAGGACAAGGACAATCTCTTGGGCAGAAGCCAAAGTCTCCCCTGTTGGACTGAGAGGCCCCCAAGGAGAGATCCCCCCACACCCACGTCCCCATAAACCCCCATGAGACTGCCAGCCATAGCAGACTGAATTCCTCCTCCCAGTATCTTCCTTCCACCCACCCACCCCAGCTCGGAGTCCAGAACCCTGCTCAAAAAGGGAGCTCAGACAGTGTGGAAAAGAGGCCTCCTGATAACAGGTAGGGTAGAAACACAAACCCAAGAAATGCATTTCTTTGCCTTGGTTTATTCTTCCCAGCTTTGGTCCAGAGGCCAGGTTCATACTCACCACGTAAGAGTCCCCAGGCCCATTGCTTCAGCCTCACGCCCTGTACCTTTCACTTACTCACCCACACATTTGGCAGATAGGGAGACGGGCCAGAGGCAACGTCAGAGACCTCCAGGTCACTGCTCACCCATCAGGGTCTTGTATCCTCCTGGCTCATAAAATCAAAGCAGGGAGCTCAGCTACCTTAGTCCTTGGTTCTCCCTGGAGCCTACCGACTCTCTACCTCACAGAGGCTCTGCGGGAGCCCATCAACCCCATGCAATGACATAAGGGGGCATGGCCCAGCATCCTAAGAGCTTCCAGGAGCTGGACTGACACTGCCCACTGCCCACTCTGGAAGGCTGAACTGTGACTCCTCCTGGCCCAGACAGTCCGATTTCAGGGACAGAGACCAAATTAATTTGACATCCAGTGTTGCGAAAGCCAGAAAGGCACAGCAAGTAGAAACACAGAGAATGAAGTAAGGTTTTCCCCAACAGCCTTAGAATACCTGTCCATTCCTTGCAAGCTTAGAAAGCACACATTCCTTTTTTTTATTTTTTATTGAGGTGTAATTGACATATGACATTATATCAACACAGATTCCTTTTCATCAGAAGTTTAAGCCAATAAGGTTTGCAACAGATCCTCTGCAGTGGAGGGATGTGATTTGTTTGGAACTGGTGTTTTAGAATTCCCATTCTCCCAGTCTTCTCAGGGTCCTACCATTGTCATCTCCTCCATCTCCATCTCACATGTGCCCAATGGCAGAGTTCAAACAGGACAGTCCTCTATCTTCTTGTCTGATCTCGCCCCCGTGCCTGCCATGGTGTCAATCACCATCCTAGTTCTCTTTCCTGAGAGCAGTTCTCCACCAATTGCCCTGGAAAAATTGCAGCCAAAAAGCCATGGTTGGCCAGAGCAGGAAATCCATCAGGGACAACAGCCTTAGCAGAGCAAGGTCGTGGAGGAGTGAAGGTGAGGGATCAAAAGAGTTAGCCTGAGAAATTCCAAGAGAATGGATTGATCAGCCACAACCTTCAGATAAATGAGAGCAGGCTAGCCCTTTCTCCAGGGGAGCAGTGGGACCCTGTGGAGACAAAAGGATAGTGTAGACCACAGGTAACATAAGGTATGGATGGATGCCCTACATATACAATTGAACATACATGCTCCTAATATGCATATCCCATGCACACACCTGCACACATGTACCCCTACACACAGGCCTGTACACACGAGGGATCATTCACAAATACCCACCAGAAATCTGCACACTCAAACTCACTCATATGTAAACACACATCTTTTGCATATCTTCACTCATGCACATAGATACACACCATGGGGTACCCATCCATGCATGCACATACAAATTTACTTCCTCCTACATATATACTATGGGCTTCCCCGGTAACTCAGGTGGTAAAGAATCCACCTGCCAATACAGAAGACATAGGTTCGATCCCTGGGTCAGGAAGATCCCTGGGAGAAGGAAATGGCAACCCACTCCAGTATTCTTGCCTGGGAAATCCCATGGACACAGGAGCCTGGTATGCTACAGTCCACAGGGTCACAAAAAAGTAGGACATGACTTAGCAACTAAACAATAACAACATACATGCTATACATACACATATGTACATACTCACACATAGGCTTGTGTGTCCACACAGCACACATACTGATGCACAGGTGCAGATTCACACGTGGCCTGTGCACATCTGCCTACATGTTAGCACTGACATACTCACTTATGCTTCCCTGCACTTATACCAGCAAATGATCTGTACTTGCTTGTGCATAACCACACACATGTCTGCAAATATATACATAAACCCTTGCACCCCTGTACAGAGACACCCTTAGTCTTGGTCCTGGGGCCTGGATGGTACTGCCCTCTGTTGGAGACAGCGGATAAGCTCCTTCCGGTTGTCTAAAATGGTGTCAAAGCTCTCCTGCAGACGGGCCTGCTGGTCAACCAACTGGTGCTGCAGGCCCCGGATCCACTGGAGCAGGGCCAGGCGACGGTACATCACCAAGTGCACGTGGTGCTTCTCTTTCTCCTGCTCTTTGTAGCGCTCTTGAGCCTGCAGCTGCTGCACGGCCTGGGCCACTGAGGGCAGAAGGTGGTCTGGAGGGCCAGGAGGGGTCCCACAGGCAGACTCAGGGCTGCAGCTAGGGCTGTCAACGCTCAGGGAGCTGCTGGCATAGCCGTTGTCCTCCAGCGGGGAGCAGACTATGCTGGCACCACCCGTCTTCTCAGGCCCAGCTCCAGGAATCTCTGCCCCCTCCGGCGGGCTGCGGACCTCCCCCTCAGGGAGTCCAGGAGCCTGGAAACCCTGGTTGTCAGAGGGCAAGTCAGAGGAGCTCCTCGTTAGTGCGGGCTCCACTTGGCCTGGCATCCCGTGCCAATTCTCATTGGCATCCTTGGCACTCGTCATGAAGTTGGAGTTGCTGTCTGGTTGAAGTTCGGGTGGACATGCTCCAGGAGGTGGGCCCCCCAGGAACTGACCCCCCTCAGCTACCCCTGGCTGGATGGCGAACATCTGGTCTGTAGATGGGAAGCAGAAGAATGAGTCAGAGCAGGTGAGGGTGGGGTGCCTGAAGTCGAGAGACCTGAGCAACAGACACAAGGCCTTTGCCTTGACTCTGTTAACGCCTCCCTGGGGTTGTCCTCTTCCCTTCCTGACCCCGATTCTCAGTCTCCTCACAGGCTCTCCCTCAGCCCTGAGGCAAGCCGTCCTCTCCTCATAGACACTTCTCCCCAGACGACCTCATCTTCCGCCGGAGGTTCAAGAACTACCGTTTGCTGGGGACTCTCGGATCTGTCAGAGAGTCAGATCCAAATGCTACTGAATTCTGCAACCAACCATGGGCTCCTCAGATTCTACACAGCCCGCCCTGCTCTCCCTATTCAGTGTCCTCAGCAAAGCAGGCCCACTCTCCAGTCAGTCACGCCGACCGGAAACTGTGGGCACATACACATGCCCGCGCATGTACATACATCTCCCCTTTCTCTTGGTTTGGGCCATTTCTAACCTGGATTACTGACTGCCACGGCTTTTTCACTGAGCTCTCTGCCTCTAGTTAAAAATGTAAATTTGTCCTGGCCCTAACCTCCTGCTGAACCTCTTCCTGGCCTAAGCGGCTGTGTTTCTTCTGGCCCCAGCTCACTGTCTCAGACCTGCCTCTTACCACTCAGCCCCTCCCACCATCCCAAACTGCTCAGAGATCTTAGAACACACCATTATTCTCCTCCCACAGTCCCCTTGGCCCAATATATCCTTCCTCTCCCCTCCCATCCCAGCTCTTTGCCTCTCCATTGACATATTCCTTTCCGTATACTAAGTGAAGTGAAAGCTGCTCAGTCGTGTCCAACTCTTTGCGACCCCATGGACTATAAATATAAAGTCCATGGAATTCTCCAGGCCAGAATACTGGAGTGGGCAGAATTTACCTTCTCCAGGGGATCTTCCCAACCCAAGGATCGAACCCAGGTCTCCTGCACTGCAGGCAGGTTCTTTCCCAGCTGAGCCACAAGGGAAGTCTTTGTATGCTAAGACTCAGCTCTAATATCCCCACCTCCCTGAAGCCATCCTGGCGTTCTCCCCACGGTCCCTATGTCCAAACACACACAGTCAACAGTGCCTTCCTCTGGACCCTCACTGCTTGGACACATGCTGTCTTATGCCTGTTTGTTTCCTGTCCCCGGCACATAGTTGATGGTCAGTAAATGTCTATTCAACTTGTTTTTGTTTCCTCTATCTTGTAATAGCAGCCTACTGGCCCCCCTACTGGACATGGAATTCCTCTCTGTAACCTCCACCTTGTTCAGGAGCCAGCACAGAACCTGGCACCTGGCAGGTGGCAGTGCATCCTTGCTAAGTGAGTGAGCAGGGCAGTTGGATCTGGGCTGCTGACGGCTCAGGGCTGGAAGAGCTGAGTTGGGTTCCTTCCCCTGCCCAGTGCGGAAGCCCTTCTCCCACTGACAAGCCTCTCTTCTGACCTCACCCCTTCCTTCCATGTTTATTACTATCCTGAGTCCTTGCCTCTATCTAGCTCCATCCTGAGGCCCTGGAGAGAGGACACACCACATTATTCTTTCCTTCCAATAACCGACTTCTCCCAAAATCTGGATTTAAATTGACAAGAAGTTTCTACTGACCATAAATTACTAGGATTAGAAAAACGGAATCAGTAAGAGGAAGGGGGAGTGTCAGTGAATGTGGCAGGGACCCTCCCACATCCAGTACAGTACTGGGAAGAAGTCCTGGGGGCGACAGTGTAGGGACAGTCCCTTGGTAACCTACAGACTCCATCCCGCTAAGCAAGGTGCCTGGAGATGGTCCCCGCCCAAATGTTTTCTTTTTTTCTAAACTTGGGCGGGGCCGTGAAGCAAGCTGCAAACAGGCGGGGGTGGTGGAAAGATAAAGGGGGTCTCAGGGAAGGTAAAATGGGAACCGAGACATCCTGGCATCAGGCTTCTCTCCAAGCTAATCCTCAGTTTGTCGGGGGGGTGGGGGTGGGGGATGGTGGAGGAGGGAAGTTGGGTGGGGGGGGGGGGGTGGCAGTAAAGATGAGCGGAGGCGGCTTCCCTTCCTGCCTAGACTTGCGGTAGAGGGAGACCATCCCCAGGAGACAGAGGATCCAGACCATTATTCCCTATTCCCACCCCCACACGAACACCCCCAGCAAAAGGCAGCTGGGCAGAGGCAACGACCCCCGCCCCTTGCGGCTGGGGTCCAAACCCTCCCGCTCCAGCCCCGACTCACGGCCTGGAGGCGCCGCCCCGCCCGGCTGGCTCTGGTGGCGAGGTCCCCGCGGCGGGAACTGCTCCCTCCGGGCTGGGGAGGTGGTCCCTCGGCCTGGGCGTCCCCGCGGGTCGGGGCGTGGAGTGCGGGTTCCCGGGCGCTGCGCCCAGCCCAGGCCCGGGCTGCGGAGTCTGGCGGCGTCAGCACGGCGGGGCGGGGCGGCCTGGCCCACGTGGGCCGGTTCGGTTTTCTGCGGAGCCGCGCGCGGTTCCGAGCGCCGGAACCGCCTCCCCCGCCTCCGGCAGCCTGGACCCAGCCTTGCAGGTCCTATTTAATTCTTAACTGCATTCACTGGTTCTCACCGATCGGTTTGCCTCACAGTGACACTTTAAGAATGACAATCTGATCGTGACACCGCCACCCTCCAGCCTAAAAGCCATCAGGGGCTTCCGCATAGCCGCTTAAATCCTTAAGGCAGCCGCCGCGGGGCTCAGCATCCTGCTCTCTCGCTCCAGCTTCAGCCTTTGCTCTTGGGCTCTGCAGCTGAGAAGCCTCGCGCTCCTTTCTGCCGCACTGTTCCCTCTGCCTAAAATTCTCTCTCCTCTCATATCTCAGATCTCTTCTCAGGTAAACCTTCTCTGACCTCCTAGACTGAATAGTTCCCTTATTATATTATCCCAAGGCTTTTTTTTCTTTTCTTTCACAATTTGAAGATATAGGTTCGTTTTGTGCTTATTTCATTAAAGTCACTTAATGAACAGAGTAATTGCTGACTCTAATGATAAAACCTCCCTTAGGGAGAGGCAGCCCCAGAAAGACGTCTGTGACAAATTTAGCCTTTAGGGCCAATGAGCTTCCAGGAGGTCCCTTCCATACCCACAGCTTTACTAAGTAAACCCAGCAATTTGCTATACCTTTCTCATGCTCCCCCCTCCATGCCACCAATTAAATATGATTCATCTTTCAATCATAATACATTTAAAAATACCCTGGGAAGGCAGAGGAACCAGAAATCAAATAGCCAGCATTCACCTGATCATAGAGAAAGCAAAGGAATTTCAGAAAAACATCTACCTGTTTCATTGACTATGCTAAAGCCTTTGAGTGTGTGGATTATAACAAACTGTGGAAAGCTCTTAAGGAGATAGGAACACCAGACCATCTTAGCTGTCTCCTGGGATACCTGTATGTGGGCCAAGAAACGGCAGTTAGAACCTTGTATGGAACAACTGATTGGCTCAAGATGGAGCAAGGAGTCATAGTACAGCAAGGCTGTCTGTTTAATTTATACGCTGAGCACATCATGAGAAATGCGGGGCTGGATAAGTTACAAGCTGAAATCAAGATAGGCGGGAGAAACATCAACAACCTTAGATATACAGATGATACCATTCTAATGGCAGAAAGCGAGGAGGAACTGAGGAGCTTCTGGATGAGGGGAAAGGAGGAAAGTGAAAGAACCAGCTTAAAACTAAATATTAAAAAACTAAGATCATGGCATCCAGCCCCATTACTTCATGACAGATAGAAAGGGAAAAGGTGGAAGTAGTGACAGATTTCCTCTTCTTGGGCTCTAAAGTCACTGCGGATGGTGACTGAAGCCATGAAATCAGAAGACAGTTGCTTCTTAGCAGGAAAGCTATGACAAACCTAGGCAGTGTGTTGAAATGCAGAGACATTACTCTGCCCACAAAGGTTCAAATAGTCAAGGCTGTGGTCTTCCCATTGGTCTTGTATGGTTCTGAGAGCTGGACCATAAAGAAGGCAGAGCTCCAAAGAATTGATGCCTTCGAACTGTGGTGCTGGAACTCTTGGAAGTCCCTGTAGAGCAAGAAGATCAAACCAGTCAATCTTAAGGGCAATCAACTCTGAATACTCATTGGAAGGACAGATGCTGATGCTGAAGCTCTGGTATTTTGTTCATCTGATGTGAACAGCCGACACATTGGAAAAGTCCCTGATACTGGGAAAGATTGAGGGCAGAAGGGGAAGAGGGTGTCAGAGGATGAGATGGCTGGATGGCATCACCGATGAACTGGAATAAACTTGGGCAAATTTCAGGAGATGGTGAGGGACAGGGAGGCCTGGCATGCTGCAGTCCATGCGGTCAAAAAGAGTCAGACACAACTGGGTGACCGAACAACAACAACCAGTGGTTAGGATCTGTGCTTTCACTGCCAAGAGTTCCGATTCCATCCCTGGTTGGAGAACTAAAATCCCACAAGCTGTGCCTGGAGGCCACAAGTACCCTTGTCTTTCCCTCTTCCCTTTCTTTTGCTTTTTTTTTTCTTTAAGAGGAAGAATTTCTTTCTAATCTCCATGATAAGCCATCCTCTTCCATTTCCAACTTAATTCCAATTTACCATTCTGCAACCTAGAGAGTCTCTGGTGGCTCAGATGCCTGCTATACAGGAGACCTGGGTTTAGTCCCTGGGTCGGGAAGATCCTCTGGAGAAGAAAATAGCAACCCAATCCAGTATTCTTGCCTGGAGGATTCCACAGACAGAGGCGCCTAGCAGGCTATATAGTCCACGGGGTGGCAAAGAGTCAGACACATTGAGTGACTAGCACAACCTAGAGAGTAAATGGCAAATTAAATCACACCAACAAATCCTATATACAAAATAAGGGAAATAGAAAAGAAAAAAATATCATTATGAAAATTCTTATTTTAAGAGGGAAGAGGAAATAAAAAGGAAAAGGCAGAAATAACTCAAGCTTTGGACACCCCTCCAGCTAAAAATATACATGCAGAGACCTCAGTCCCATTTCCACATCAGGTACCAAGGCCTAAC